AAAAAAAAAAAAAATATATATATATATAGGTTACAATTTGCAGCAGGACCCTTTTGTCTGGCCGGAGGCAGGAAGCGGGGTTCAAGGGCAATAAGGGAGGGTCACTTTGCTTAGACTGTGTTCTCCACACCCCACACCCCCAACTCTGTCACAATCTTATTCATCTTTCAAAGCTGCCCTCACAGGCCACGTCTTCCGTGGGGCTTTCTCAGCGCCTCCCACCCAAAATGAATCTTCCTCTGTCCTTCCCCAGCTTCTGCTAGTCCCTTTATTATAGCCTGTGCGCCCATAATTTGTGCACATCTTATCTCCTTGACTAAATGTAAGCTTGGGTTTCAAGAAACATGGATTGGAGCCTGCTGCGTGCCAGGGACTCAGTTAAACATGTGAAACCGGGGGCCAGGACGGGCAGCTGTAGTCTGTGAGCTCCTGGAAAGTCAGGCCTGTTTTATAGCCTTTGTCGCAGTCGCCCAGGCCCGCACGGGACACACTTCTGTCGAGGGCGCGCGTTCATGAATGAATGGATGTCAGTGTGGAAAGGGTGGTCAGGGAGGGCCAGGGAAGGGAACACCCCGACTCTCCCGAACCTGAGCCGTCACCCGGACTCTAACCCTGGCCTCAGGACCATGGCCCCAACTCTTGGCAGTGACCTTGGTAGTGACCCCTTCTTCAAGGGCTATTTCCGGCAGGCCCTCCTCAAGGGCCAGGCCAGATGCCAAAACTCCCCAGCTCCTCTCCACCTCCACCTCGGCAAACCCCTTCCCCTCTTTAGGACTCAGGTTCCCACCTGTGCCAGGGGAAGCGGCCTCACCCCGATGCTGCTTTGAGATGCAGTGTCACAGGGGTGGGGTAGGGCCAGGGGCTATGGGAGGGGGGAGCATCCTGTATTATAATTATAATTATCACACCTCGGATCCTATCACACGGTTTCCTTCCCACGGATTCACCCCTCCTGGTCCCGGAAACCACCAGAGAAACCGAGGCATGGGGGGGGGGCAGGGGGGACAGCAGTGGGTTTCCAGTTCTGGTTCCCGCATCT